GCAAAGAATACAATACCTGCTTCAAAGTTCACACCCATCAATACAGTAAAAGAAAGGATCAGATACTTGTAAAGGGACAAACTCGAAAGCATGCTTACCAACTCTCCATGTTTGGAAGTATATAATAGGCTTCATCGTAGCTTTTACATCTGTTCCCTCATTACCCAGCACAGAGTGCTTCTCCCTCTGAAATACTTATGATTCATTAGAGCTGCTAAGAAAATACAAGTTGAGCCTCCGGTAAGGAGGATAACAAGAAAAGAAAGAAAAGAACAAAAAATATCAAAATACTGCCAGAACAATAAATCATTACTCCAACCTCTCATAACATGCAGCGGATAAATATAAAATGCATATGATCTTAGAGGATTATACTAATTCCGACCATTGAACACATGGCAGTCAAATACTAGGAGGGATATGGTTAGAAATGAAGATAATCGGGGCAAGGTAGGTATGGTCTCCGCGGTGGACAAGATGCGCGAAACGAGATTGAGATGGTTTGGGCATGTGAAGAGGAGATGTCAAGATGCATACTTCCTCCATTTCAATTTATGTCACGTAGTTTGATTAGGCAAAAAGTTTAAGGAAAAAAAGACTTTTGAAACTTGTGGTCTTAAAAGCTTTGTTGGGTCATTAACATTTGTATAGCTATAATTTCTCATGGGTAAAATAGGTAAAATAAGTAAAGTTATTTCCAAATAAAAAAAATGTATCATTCTTTTTGGAACGAACTAATAAGGAAAGTATGTCACATAAATTGATACGGAGGGAGTAAGTTATGTAACACGTAGATAACGTTCCGTTGGCTAATAAACTCCTTATATCCCTCTGTGATATATTACAATGGCGGTTAAACAAAAGAAGCTTACTGGATAGCGGGGGAAAGACTACCTTGGACAGAATGACGAAAATAGGAAACAGTATATCACTTCGTATTGCTATCAATTGTTTGGTGGCAGAAAAGGAGAAGACTGGATATTTCTTGAATCCTTCATAATTAGCTAATGCTTGGTAACCAATAAAAGGCCTCTTCCAATTCCCATGGGATGGAACAATCACATGCGATAAGGTTGTTAATATGATATGCAGTGGCGGACCCAGGATTTTGTGCAAGCGGGTTCAGTCGGAGAAGTCCATAACTAACATAAGCAGGTTCAAAAATAATTTCTATACAAAATTTACCTTGCTTTAGCCATAATTTATACATATACACAGTATTATTTTTTGACGAAGCGGGTTCAGTTGAACCCACTTCTCACCACTTGGGTCCGCCCCTGATGATATGGACAAATTAATTGGCCACTCTCAGAACATCCTCCACCCCTAAGCCCCTAATTGTTTGCCTCAAGAATTATGATTTATTGTAAATAACTCTTGCAACCCACTTTTGGGTGATTATTGGGGAGCTCACTGAGCTCCCTGCCCTATGCCACTTAGGTACAGGTTCCGAACGCATGGGGGTCCACTCTTCTTACTTCCTGCTCGCACCTATCACCCTAAAAGTTAAAACCAAAACATTCTTGCTTCATATATGTGTAATTAATATTATCTAGTGAAAGACATTGATCAGCTTCAATCACGTCCTCCATCCAACCATATTGTAATCTCTAAAATCAAAAGTATTTGAGTCACTTCTTATGCAGCTATGTTATGACTTCGCATAACCAAAGTGTATCACAATTCCATTTGTAGCCCTACCGTATTGAGTCACTATTATCTGCTTTAATACTTACATTTGAGATTGTTGGATAGATTAGTAAGGCTAAAAGAACATGCTCTATCCATCTCTCTCTCATCAAAGTTTGTAGAGAAAAAAAAAATAACGCCTAAGCAGACAATGTCACATTAAATTCAAAGTTAATGCATCATGAATACTTCTTATTGCGCCCAATCAATGTTTGTGACTAAAAGAGAAACCCATATATAGACAGGTGCAATGGGAATGGAAGTGTACAAACAAACAAGTTATTTGTGTAAAGTCATTGGTCAACTCAAAATTACCATTGGGAATCCTATTTCCTTTCCTTAAGAAAAGAGTAAAAATAGAGAGAGAGAAAAGAAACAATAGGAAAAGTGGAAAAGGCTTAAGTTCAATGCCAACGTATTCCCTTTGAAGCAGCAAATCTTGCATTACATATTTAAGCATGAAATGAAAGACTTCTTTTACTTTCTTATCAACAAAAAAAGTCTTGCATATGATATAATAGGGAGGGCCCAATAATTATAATTTGTCGTGAACATGGACACCATACTTGACCAAAATTTCCTCTTTTCTAAGTTAAGCAATGACACATTTGGCTAAACTTTAAGACTACCTATACGACCATAAATTAAAAAATGGCAAAAGTAGAGCTGTGAAGGGAAAACTAAGCAAAGCACAGGGCAGGTAGTTGTGTAAAATAAAGGGTAGAAAGTACCTCATCATGACCTAATTTAAGGAGGTTGGTTCCAAAGTTAATGGCAATGCTACCAAACAAGTTGATAACCGCTCCAATTACCCACTCGCCCATGGATGGAAGAGATCAGGAAGACTTGTCCACAGTGAACTGAGTACCGCTTTTGCAAGTTTAGGAGCAGGAGCATCACCACGGAAGACAATCAGATCTTTGATGGTTGGGACTTGGAAGACTATAAATAGGCAGACACGTTATCAAAGAATTTACCAAAGGTCAAAGACCAAGCAGAAGTGATAAATAAATAAATAAAAAGAGAGAGAGAGAGATTATGAAGATCGACTGGAGATCATAATGTATAGTAATAATTTTTCGCGAAAATGATCTTCAAGTTTAGGAAAATGAAAGTGAGGGTAGGGAAAGGAGCTTGAGAAAGTTTACCTTGAATGGGGCCGGCAGGTTTAAACCTATGTATTGTCTGAAATTTGAAGGAAAGCCAGAAGCTAAGCGGATCTAACAATGAACTTCATTTTTTTTCTTCTTGCTGTAGTCAATATATACACATAAAGATATCAAATTTTTATCTTTCTCGGACTGCAGATTTAAATCCTGTGCGGAAGGGCGAAACCCTAACTTGAAATTGGAAGCTCAACGGCCAAATTTGATCAGGAATACTCAAAGATGATGGCTTTGAGTCTTTCGTTCTTCTTTCCTTTCTTGCGTTCCTGGCAAAGTATGAAAAGAAGTCCGTGTAATAAAGTATTATATACTCGATTGTTTTCAAAGATAATTATTTTCTGGAAAAAATACTCCTACTACAGAGTACTTATATGGCATTTCTCAAAATAGAGGCTGTGGTTGAGGGATCCATTTCCTCATAAAAGAATGGCGTGACAACTTATCAACCCTTTCAGGAATTGCCCTTCCTGTCGGTCGGTAAAGACTAGTCATTAGCGTATTGGTTTTCAATTTTTAATATGGAAAATGGGTTAAAATATACATTTACAATTGAAAATTATTTAAAGTTACCCTCCAAATTATTTAACGGCCATATCGTCTTACTATTAAACAAATATACCCCAAGTCGCAGCCATTGAAGCCATTAGGTCCATTCGGGTCAGTAACCCGACCCGATACCAAATGAAATTAAACCCTTATTCAACATCCAGGCGACCCCTTCCCCAATTTGTAAGTCTTCAATCAAGACAAACATAACCATACCTTCAAATATTTTAGTTGCATACGCTTCATAAATCCTACTACCAAAGAATTATGTAATATTTTCTAATCAATCTCCGTAAACAGTTGATCTCGTATTCCTTGGCATTACTCTTTCAAATAATTCAGTGCTACTGTCACTCCCATTATTTTTATTCTAAATTGGTCTCAAAGCTAACCTTTTCTTCTTCATATGTTGCCCGAATTATAATCGTTGCACAAGCTTACACCATTCATTCCTCGTAATGCTACTTCAACAAATTTTTCAGAAATTACATTTTCGTACTTAATTTCTGTTAGATTTCTTCTTATTATTGTTATATGGTTTATTTTCGGAATTTTGGATAAACAGTGAGAAAAAAACCCACCTTCTTCATCTATTACCACTCTAAAAAAGTTGCCAACAATAATTAGATCTAAGTGATAAGAAATACAAAATTGTTATATCTTTTACTCTTATGGAGATTTAACCTTTGTTTTCTTGGGTTTATCAATGTGGATGTGTAGATAGAGACTGATTGTTACACCCCATATTTTTGTACGTAAAAGTAACCCATAAGTAAATTGATAAAGCTTGGAAATGAGTTATTATATCCCGTATTTTCGTACGTTAAAGTTTCGTCGTAAGTTAATCGACGTAAGTTCGGAAATGAGATTATTTTGAGATTATAAGCATTATGCTATTTCCAACAAGTGATGAGCAAATTCGTGAAGGTGAGAGGGTAAGCACATCGAAAAAAATGATTTTTTGTCGAAGTTTGACATTTTGGGATAAAATACGGCCCGAGCTAAAATACCCTGTATTTATGAACTAGTACCATACAAGGTACCACATGACCATGATATTAAGGGGTATAAGGTGTGTTTAAAATGAGTAGTATTAATGGAAGAATTAGCAAGTTAATGAAATTTAGTGGATAATTAATTAATAATCTTGGATAAGACCAAGATAATACCACCGTGCCAGCCCCATTCCAAGATTTGTGACTCTTATATTAGGAATGGAAGGTGGCACATGTAAGTAGGATGTGTGGCTTAGTCACTAGCGTGTGGGGCCTACCTAAATATTAGAAATAACCTTCATAATTAAGAAACATTTTCAACCAAACCTGCCATTTCATGTAACTTTAAATCCTAATCTCTCAAGGAGATTTTCAGTCCAAGCACATAGAAACCTTACAATTCAAAGACTTTCTAATCCAAGGAAATAGCAACGTTAATTCACTTTCCAAATCCAAGTTTGGTTTCTAATCCAAACTTGTCATTTCATGTAACGTTGAATCCTAATCTCTCAAGGAGATTTTAAGCCAAGCACATATAAACCTTACAATTCAAAGACTTTGTAATCCAAGGAAGTAGCAACGTTAATTCACTTTCCAAATAGCAATGTTCCATTTGATTACTGTCCCATTGAGTAAAGAACAGGACCATGCAACTAAGACACGAGCAGGTAATACCGTTCTATTGATGAATAAAGAGCAAAAACAAGCTACATCTAAAGAATCTACCTGGGCTAATGTACTCACAGGCAATAGATCTGCAGCCAACGGTATGACATTGACCTATATTACTCTTGAAATTGTAGAAGGGAATTTGGTAGCTAAGCTGGAGAAATCAGAGATTGAGCAGGAAAATTTGAAATGGAAGAATGCGTTGATTGTCTATGTATTGGGTGAGAAGCCAGGCTACAATTCCATGAAGAGATACATCAACCAAGTGTGGAACATAGTTGCCATGCCAGATTTGTTCTATCATGATGAGGGTTATTATCTTGTGAGATTCCAAACATTGGAAGACATGAAGGAAATTATGTGTGCTGGGCCTTATACTATGAATGGAAGACCAATGATAATGAAGCATTGGTCACCATATTTTGATTTTGCTGCTGAATTTTTAACAGATATTCCATTATGGGTAAAATTCCCAAAATTACCCATGAACTGTTGGAGTGGAAACTCACTGAGCAAAATAGCAAGCACAATAGGGATTCCTATGTTTGCAGATGAGTGTACTGCTAAACAAACGCGAATCTCCTATGCTAGAATTTTGATAGAAGTGAATGTTACAAAGCCTTTCAGTGAAGTCTTGAATTTCAGCCTTTGTAACTGTTTTCCCATAGATTTTGTCTTGAATTGTTAAGACAGAGTTAAAATCTCCCCATATAAGCCAAGGTTCTGTATTTTGTGATGCATCATCTTTCAATGGTTGCCATAGAAGCTTTCTTTCTTCTATAGTATTAAACCCAAACACTACTGTCATGTGGCACTTTATATTATTATGCCTGCTTGTAACTCTGCAGTAGATTGTTTGAGCAAATTTCCCTAGCACTGTAATGTCATAGTACTGTGGATCCCAAAGTAACCAAATTCTCCCATTTATTGCATGTTCATAATTGTATTGAACTTGCCATCCAGGTGTTATTAACTGTGATATCTGAGTTGCTTTCTCCTTCTTTACTCTTGTTTCCACTATCCCCACTAGTTTGATATTGTTCTCCTTTATGTAGGTACCTAACTCCTTCTGTTTGTATCTCTTGTTGGTACCTCTAATATTCCATACCATCCAAGACATGTCAATTTTGGGGTTGTCCACCTATATCAGGTGGTTTTTGAAATGCTATCACAGTTGTACACTGGCTAGCTTGTGCCCTTTGTTTCATTGGAGACATTATTGCTTTGGCATAGGTCATTTGATTATCATCAGCCTTCATTTTCCCTTTATCCACTTGCGTGCTTGTCTCTATTGCTTCTCCATCTTTGTGAGTTTCCATTACAAAGTTACTAAAACCTAAACTAGTTTGCTTGTATATGTACATGTTAAAATTACCATTGCGCATTGAACATGATAATGACTAAATCTTCTATATTGACAAATATGTTCACCTCAAATATGATATATACTTTCCTAAAACTTTAAAAAAAAAAAGGTAGATATCACCTGACCCCCACCCCCTCTAAGTAATTGGGGTTTAATCAAGAATCCTAATTAAGAAGAATAGATTAAGAATTGTTAATTGCATTTGATGTACGCTTCTCATAAAAGACGTAAGAGATGTAAGTTTGAGGCTCTCTTTGTAATATCAGGAAGAAGAAAGCTTCCACATGTTTGGATTCATTGAATTTGGATGATATTTTGTTAATCAGTATCTTGCTAAAATGATAAAATTAAATTAAAAGTGATAATTACAGAACGCTTTCTACCACATACTTATTTTTTATGCAATATATGCAGACGTTTACTTCCAATATTGTTTTCTCAGTGAGAAGGATATATAATGGAGTTAGATGTTTTCTTGATGACACGATGACAACAACACAATATATGAGCCAATAGTTGGCTATAGTTGCCGTGCGGAGCAGTCCCCTAAAATATAAAATGATGCAGTAGTTTTTATTTTCCAACATGTTTCTAAACTATAATTAACGAGTTACGTATTTCAGCATGATGATAAACGATAAATAAAATTTCATACAGTTTTCTGAGCATTTTCGACCTGTTTTAAGGCAAGGTAGATCCAATGGACAGTGTTCTTTCGTGTTACTACCATTTGGAACCTTCAGCCTGTTTTCTTTTGCACCAATTTTGACAGAGTTTTAATTTTGTATATTGACAGTGTATAATATTTTTTATACCATCGAGTTAAGGTTATATGCAATAATGGTAGTTATTTTAAAATAATGCATGATCTGGTAATATGAAAATAATATGTAACTTGTAATAATAAGTTAAACTATACTGATAGTTACACTACGGTGCATATAACTTTAAATTCTTTTGTTATAGAAAGACAATATCCTTTGTTTGTTTGTGATATTTTGTTATGCTTTAAAAATTAAAGGTCAGAATCAGTTACAATGGAAGAGGAAACGGGGAACCCATATGCTTTATCCAATCCAGTTCAGTTGGAATTAGTTAAGTCAACACACAGTTAAGGTCATTGCTGTGTCTCGATGACCAGGTCAAGTTCATTCTCATTTCCATTTCAGTTGAGTATTAATTAAATATATTTCAAAATATTTAATTTTTTTGAAAAACAAGAAAAGATTATTTATTACTTCTAGTCAAAAGTGTTTCTTAATAACTTACAAAATCTTAAAAGACAGATAATATGATCCGACCCCGTCAGAGGTAGTATTACATTAACCTGACACCCACAATATATATACTAAAGAAACGAAATTTGCAGTTGTTTACATGCAGGTCAGCCTATTTTAGGCTCTTTGTACTTTGGCTTAAATGCGATCTAGGTTCATTCTCTCGCCTTTTGTTTGACCTTCTTGCATCTACACGACAGTTTGACTTCAAAATTCTGTTTTCTTTTTTTAAAATAAATAAAAATACTACGTATATATAAACAATATTTACCTTTTCCCTTTGATAACCCGCTCTTCGTTTTTTTTTTTGGTTTCCCACCCGGTGTCCGCTACCCGCATTGGAGCCCGACTATATCCGGATTCGCGCCGCGTAGGGCCTCATTCGGGGGGAATTGCTCCCTACCAAAGATTAAACCATACCCAGGGCTCGAACTCGAGACATCTAGTCAAGGGAGGAGCAGTCTCATCCACTGCATCACATTCTTTTGTGGTATAACCCGCTCTTATGTTAAACTCATGATCACCATCTTTCATTTGTAGCTATACTTTTGGCTTGCTTGTTTTGGAATTTCGATAAAACTATAAAAACAACTTTTTAACTTGGTACATTATCAGAAAAAGTGATGGCCAATAAACAAAAACATACCTTTTATTCATGTAGTTTTTTTTTTAGAAAAAAAAATACTACAGTATTTCGTAACATCAAGCTCATAGTTAACTTAGAAAACCTTCATACCTTGATGTCTACATCATAATCCTACATGTAGCAATAATGGCATACATTACTAATACTTCAAGAATAATAAAATCGATTTGTTATTGTCTTAAAACGACTCTTTTATGATGAAAGATTACAATAAGATATGTAAAATTTATAACTAAATTAATTAATAAATGGCTTATATCTACAAGCTAAAAGTAACTCCTATTGTTTTTTCCATGGAGCGTGACGGTGCTAAACTAGTTTATATCGACAAATATGTCCTCTTCAAATATAAAATGAGATCATTATTAATTTATGGAGTTATCTCGGATCTCCCGAATAAGAAAATTGGATGGATTTGATAGAAGAACTTTTATTTCTAGGAAGGAACGGATTATTCGGAAACTCACTCTTAGTGGGCGTTTGGACATAAGAAAGTGTAAAATTCCAAAAAAAAGTGGAAAAAAAATTCAAGTGAAAATGGTATTTGAAAGGCCAAATGCATATACAGCCCATTCAATTTGGCATCATTTTTTATTTTGGCACTCTATCTCTGCCTTGTTCCATTTTGGCCCTTCAACTCTATTTTATATGTTCCATTTTGGCCCTCCAACTCTATTTCTTATGTTCCACTTTAACACAAAAGCTAAAATCAGTGCAAAAAATATAGCGTGTGTGTATACACAAATCTGAGGTGTAATAAATATCCAATTAAATGTTGTCACCTGGTTTTTTCATCCATATCAAACGGGTCAATACTAATATACCTGAACCCGACCATATTTTTTGTGGGTTTATTTCATCTAAACGGGCCAGTATGAAATCGGCAGATGAAAGGTTTGGAACTTAGAGACTGAAGATGGGGCAATAGTGGATGAAAAAATACGGTCGGGTTCGGGTATTTTAGTATTGACCCATTTGGCATGGATGAAAAAATAAGGTGGCAACATTTAATTGGATATTTANGCTGATAGGGGTGATGCCAAAGGTAGCATGGAAGGGACTAATGTACCAGAATCAAGCTAGGCCAAAAGCAACATTTATACTATGGTTGCTGATGCATGGTAGACTACAACTGCAGATAGGTTGAAGAAATGGAAGATCCAAATTGATGACTTATGTTGTTTTTGCAAACAAGCTCTAGAAACAAAAGAGCACCTGTTTGCGGAATGTAGGTATGTCAGAGATATGTGGAGCAGGCTAATGCAATGGATCCAAATTCAAGTTAACTTACCTTCATGGACAGAATGGCAGCAATGGATAACACAGAAGACGAAGGGAAGATCACAAATGGCTAGAATTCTCAAATTGATAGTTGCAGAATTTGTGTATACTCTGTGGATAGAAAGAAATGCAAGAATCTTTGAAAATACAGCTACAACATGGGATATACTAGCAAAGAAGATAGCTTGTGTATGTAGTATGAGAGCTGAGGGTTATACTGAAGTTTTGCTAGCACAATATAAGTACTAAATAGATGTAGCTGCTAGATTTTTTGATAGAGGATAGAGGATTAAAATCAGGATGTAAGTTAGGTTGAGATGACCTACTGTTTTGTAAATATTACTTTGGTGATTAATATAAAGATTTAATTACCAAAAAAAAATGTTGTTGCTAAGTTCTTAAGGAAAGGTTTCGGCCAAGATTTTCTTTGCATAGCAACGTGATTGCTTCAAGCTTTTCATACGAATTGTTCCGTGTTTTGTCGCAATTATCGTGTGTTAAAGGATTGTCAAGAAAATCGACTCAGGTATGTTAAAGCTATCCATTCTTTCTATTTGGCATGATCCATACGATACAAACAAAACGAGCAAATGCGCAATTTTCATAAATGACTCTATTCATAGAAATGCTAGAGATGCTTATGTTCTTGATTCTCCATGTGTTATATTATTCTATCATCTGTTCATGGGTCTCAAAAAAATACGTAAGGTGAAAAAAGTTTACTTCATGATATTACATAAAGGCATAATGATCTTATGACATTCCAAGAGATTTTATTGACGTACTTCTCATGCATTGCATTAATGTACATTGACCCATGACCAAATGGCGATATATAT